CCCTTAACCCTGGGATCCTTCTATGCCTACTATATACCCCATATATACCCTTAAGGGTCCCTAGAATCCGCCTAAAAGGCCCAAGGGCCCACATTAGGGGCCCTAAACCCTAAACCCTAAACCCTCCATGGTTCTAACCTTCCCCCAAACCCTAAACCTTAAAGCCTTAGATTTAGGCTTGCGAGGTACAGGGCTTGAGCATTGACGGGTACGGGTTTAGGGTGTCGGGTTTAGGATTTACGTTGTAGGGCTTATGGCTTGAGATTAAGGGTTTGGGGCTTAGGGCTTCAGGATTTGGGTTTCGCATTTGAGGGTGTCAGGGATTTCCCCTAAACCCTAAACCCTTAAGGGCCAAAGGGTTAGGTTTTACTAAGCTAGCTCGGAGGATGAGTGAGGTACAAATTTGTACCACGTGTGGACGGCAGGCAAAGGATTACATAGGGTTTACGGTTTAGGGTTTAGGTACATGGGGGATTGTCAAAATTATGGTCCCTTTTTGGGTCCCTACTATAATACGGGACCTGATATTTAGGGTACCCAAAAAGGGACCATAATTTCCGCAACCACCCACATCCAGTATTTACTCTAGGTGCAGCAGGCGCTGTGTCAAATCAGGGGAAAGGCCCTAAGCCTTCAACCTCAAACTCGAAGCATGGGCCCTGGGGCTCCATGTCTATAAATAGCACCTACATTGGGCCCCAAACTCTATAAATATGACCTACATTGGGCTATCTGGAGCCTTAGGGTGAAGCTCCAATTCCGGCAAACTTGAAGTGCCGAAGTTGAAGGTAAAGGGCGGAGGGAGGAGTTTCAGGTTTAGAGCTAGGCAAGTATATCAAAAAATGCTGATGTCATCTGTTATGGCTGCTAAAAAATTGACAATAGGACATTCTCTGACCAAAAGTTGGGCTTACTCAGATCTACAACCCTAAACCCTAAAGCCCTAAACTGGAAGACGACCACAATTACCATCATCCCTTGTGGTCAGTACTAGTGGCCGGTGATGCCCCGAACAGAAGCCCCATCCCAAGAGACTGAGGCAGTTTGGGTTCTAGGCAAACTAAACCCCCAGTTGAGGGCCGTCTAACCCCACTTTCAACCTACTTACTGAGTCCCCCAGGCCTTCAAGTAAACCGAAACCCTGAACCCTAAACCGCCATTTCTGTTCGCTTTTTGTCTCTCTGGCCAACATCCCATATGGCTCCGTGGATGCTCTCAGCCACATCAGCACTGCGAGCGACAAGAATCGGAGCCTGTCTCTGAGTCCGAGTCCTGGAGATTTGGGGTTCAAGATTTAGGCTCTTTTGGGGTGTTGCCGCAAGGGTCACAGTAGCTTGGGTTATTTCTGGGGACCCTTTTGGAGATACTCATGTGGCGGGGGCCGGTTTATGAATATTAGATCTTCCACAGGTTATCCTCTGCATGCACACGTAGAGTCCTGATGTACATTACCCACAAGCCACCAGAGTCCAAACTGCATGGATCCCGACATCACTTGGAACCAAACCGAAAGAAATCAGTAGCAGTCCGCCCTGTACAGTAAAAGTCCGTACTTGGCTACTTCGCCCCGCATGAAGCTTGGCTACGCCCACGATTACCCTCGTGATGGGACGCTGCATGAGCGATCTAAACCTTCGACCCCCAAATTCTAAACCCTCGATCCACCCCTAAATTCTTGAATCCTAAACAACCCCCTACACTCCCAAAAGCAGTTCTACCCAAGAGTCAGAGGAGCCAGGCGTGTCCACGAAAGGAGCCGAAGAGCTGCATCCGCACGGAGCCTTCGTCTGAAGTTAATGGCAACATAAGATCTTAAGTAAGGGTTTAGGGTTTGGGGCCTTTAAAGGGGTTATATGGGGCTATGTAAGGGTTTTCATGTGTAGTACAGAGTTATGTACGGATTTCAGGGTTTAGGGTTGAATTCAAACTCATCCTCCCTTGGAACCTGACAAATGTGTCTTCAACAGCTAATGTCCATCCAGAAAAGTGCGTTGCTCAAAGCAAACAAAGTTAACCCTAAGCTCTAAGCCCTTAACTCTAAACTCCTAGACCCTAAACCCCTACCAAACCCCTAGTAAACTCTCAAACCCCTAAGCCCTAAACTCAAAACCCACAAACCCTAAACCTTTCAAACGCTAAGAGGACTCAACCGCTAAGAGGACTCCAAGCTGTGATCTAGGAGCTTTGCAGCAGCGTGCGATAGCCATCATTTGTGTCCAAAACCCTCGAGCCAGGATAAGCTGTACCTGGGATAGACCTAGGGGCACCTTACAAAGTCAGTTCTCACGGCCTTACAGGGGATATATAGGGATTATTGCCCATAATGATTGAAAACAATTCCCAAGAATCTCAAAGGTACAAGGGCAAGTCCACAAGGAAGCTTTGCAGTGTGCCTCAAGCCTAGTAGCGCAAGCAAGAACATAGCAGTGTAGGTGAGCAATGGGATGACAAACCACTCTTCGTGTAGCGGTGTGCTTGTCACCTCACTCTGAACCTAAACCCTAAACCCCAAACCCTAAATCCTACACCCTAAACCCCAAACCCCAAGCCCTAAACCCTAAACCACCCACCCCCCAAAAAATGCCCCTATTTTTTGGGGACACACCCACCTCACTCTTCACCAAAAGCGGCACAAAGAGCGCAAGGTAGATGGCAGCACACTTCCTCGGGTCCCCCAATGCTACTCGAAGGCTCCCTGGACTTGGCGCGTAGGTTTTGAAATGGGTTTAGGGTTTAGGGTCTAGGGTCTAGGGTTTAGGGAAGTCCCCTAGTTGGGGCAGGCCTTGGGTTTAGGGAGGGTTTAGGGTTTAGGGTTTTTGATTGTGGGGTTAGGGTTTAGAAATTGGTTAATCGTAGGGGAATGGAAGAGAAAATGGAAACTACTACATTATTTAGGGTTTAGGGTTTTGTATCCTTACTTCGGGATATATGGCCCCTTGGGGTTAGAAGTCCCCTCATTGGGGCTAGCCTGCTTTTAACGCCATTGATTGTAAGTCCCCGGGGCCTTCGAGTAGAGGATTGCGGGCGCGGGCTATGGATTTAGGGTGTACGGTAGAGCGACAAAGTCGTCCTCAAAAAGCAGACATCCCTACAGACAGTCCACGGATATTTCGATTATCCTAGATGACTCCTAGGATAGAAGCCTTACCCTAATCCATTCAAGTTACCCATTTTATACAACCCATGGGTACCTTATTATCTTTTGGGAGTAAAGACATCTCTTCCCTGGAAACGCCAAGCTTCTGTATGGCCAGGTAGATGAAGCATCGCTCGTGCCTTAGTTTTCGATTGTGGGGTTGTATAGGGTTTAGAAGTTTTACCTGTAATCCCCATTGCCTGCAGTTCAGTAGTACTTAGCCCTTGATTAATTAGTGGGTATAACCGATAAAACTGTAGCTAAGTGGGGCTACAGGTAGAGTAGGGGTATACCGGGTCCATCCTTTGAAGGGTTTCCGAGCATTGGGCATCGTTTGTTGGCCTTTGTGAAGCCTGTCAAAGCCTCCATTCAAAGTCATGTCAACCATCAGGCACAATGACCAGTGTGAATGTAGGCGTTTACAACTTAAGTTGTGGCATGGATGCGGCCCCAGCCCCATAAAAGCTGGACAATTCTATAGTCCAGCTATATAAAGACCTTAAAGATGGCCACTGAATCATTCCCTCTCCCTGTACCTGTTCTTGAAGAGGCGTTCATGAAGGGGCGCGTAAAAAAATCCTATTGCTCTTTAGCGGTGGCTGGTACTGTAGGTGGGAGTGACCCCATTTTCGCTCATTATAGTAGTCCCTATAATAACCCATTATAGTAGTTTCCATTGTCTTTTCCATTATCCCAATGTAACCCCTATATATAGATATCTATATATACCCTATATATAATCCTTACATAAGACCTATAATCCCCATATAACTCCTATATAACCCTAAACCCTCCACCCTATAACCCCTATATAGCTCCTATAAACCCCATTATAAACTGTCACTGGGTGGATGCAGGAACCCACCCAAGCCCCAAGCCCTCAATCACTAAGAACTAGGTCTACATTTATGAAGGACGTTAACTGTGTAAGCTTAAGGCTTGCAACCTGGGTTTTGGGTCCCAAATACCCTGACTAGGGGCCATATCCCACGGCTTAGGGATCTAAACCCAAGGGCAGTGCAACCGTCTCCATGCGCTAACGGTTTAGGAGTTACAGCGTCGGTGGCACTGTAAAATTCAAAAGGACATCTTGAAGCAGCAGGGGCGACCTTTGGAAAGTGGAAGCCTACAAGACATTTCTACCTATGGCCTCCTAGGTTCCCCAGTAAGCCCTTACTAACAAGGGTACCCTTTTCCTACTGTTCCGCTTTAATAAGGAACCCCCAAAAATAAGAAGGGAAAAAGGGTACGACTGGGGTACCTAGCCTCTATACCCTGCCAACTTGCGGAAACATGAAGACCTAGAATCTGAAAAAAAGGACACAGAAGCTCAACGCTAAACCTTTGACCCCTAACACTCAAGCCCCTAAATCATTAAAGCTAGACAGGGAGCCACAAGACGCCGGTAAACAAAAAATCAACCAAAGCAGGCAATGACATGAACACACACACCAACATATTCCCTTATTCCCGATATTATCGCTATATGACCCCTATGTAGTCCGTATATGGTAGTTTCCCTAAATTACTGTTCCCAAAATGGGGGAAATTTATATAGGGCCTCGTATTATAATGGGAACCCAAATATAGGACCCCGTATTATAGGGAATTTAGACCAATCCCCATATAACTTTATATTATAGCGTTGTAACCACCTTGAATGTCAGGCGCTTAGGTTGTCGCAGGAGCTGAAGCAGCGTCAGCATGCGCTCGGCAATCGTGGTAACCATCCAAGCCGGATGCTCCCGGGCCTCTACTACAAAAGGCTTAGGGTTTAGGGTTTAGGGGTTTAGGGTTGACGAGAGGGGTATCTACAGAAAGTAAATTAACATATCATGGGTATAAGGAAATGTATCCCAATATGATACCGATATTATTTTAAACTATATACATCTATATACTAAGAGCCAGTAAGAACAACGCGCCAGGTTCGGGGTTTAGGATCTTCACCTCCCGTGTACCCATAACAATGATTTTAAACTATGGGCCAGTTTTGAAACTCTGTGGGAGATCTGGGACACTCGTCTAAACCCTATACCCCAAGCCGTAACCGTAAACCCCAAACCGTAACCCTGAACCCTGAGCCCGAAACCGTAACCCTAAGCCTAAACCGCGCGCCTTGCTGGGGAAAATCGTATTCAGTACAAGCTGGGTGGAAGTAAGCCTTAGCAGCACAGTAGCCAGATTACGGGCTTTGGGTGTAGGGGTTTAGGATTCTAAGGGTTTAGGGTGCCTATTCTTCAAAAATATATAAAGGGACCCGGAACCCAAAAAGGGTAAAAGAGTACCACTGGGAGTCATAGAAGCACGGTGAAAGATCCCAGTAGCAGCATCGGCAGCGCAATCTCTGGATTCGCGGCTTGGCGGATCGAGACGCCCTTGGCGTCATGTTTTGCAGAACGGCTAAGCGACTCTAGCTGCTTCATAACCCTAAGGGTCCAAGGACCCAAATAATAGGGTCCCTTTAAAGGGGCTTATAGGGGGGACATATAGGGATATATGGGGAACTATATAAGGGTCCAAGGACCCAAATAATAGGGTTTTAGGTCCCAAATACCAGTAATATTTTGGTATTTGGGCCCTGAAACCCTATTATTTGGGTCCCTGGACCCTTAGGGTAAGGTTCATCTCGCACAACCTCCATGAAGCGAAAAGCCCCTGAGATAAAACGCACCAAACAACTAACTAACGCAATGCCTTCGTGGGAGGGCTCTGGAGTTGTCGATATACAAGGCTACAAGGGCTACGGAAAAGTACCCCAGTATATAGGGAAAATGGGCCAGAGAACGGAGAAGACCTGAGTGGGACCCAAAGAAGGAAATCATACGGTCCTATCTGGAGTTTCCTGAGATCTACATGATGAAGCCTCAATGCAAAAATCTACGCTCTAAAGACTAAGCCCTAAACCCAAAACCCAAAACCCTAAATCCTAAACCGCGTGGAGTTTTCCTTTGTACCCTTAGGGTTTGTACCCTTGGTTTTGGGTCCCTAAGCCTAGGACTGTGGCCCTTCATAAGTGTATTTGGGACCCCAAACCTATAGTCTCCCTTAAGTAGATAGAATATGGCTTTGGGAATATTAAAAATGAGATCCCCATATACTCCATATTCTATCTACTTAAGGGGGACTATAGGGTTACAAAAATGGAAGGTACAAACTTAAAGTATTTGATATGTATTGGGTACTGCCCCCCCCCTCAGTAACAGTTGGATGATATTTATAATGTAGTTATATATAGCCCTTAATAGGACCCCTAATATAGACTGGTACTGAGGGGGGGGCAGTACCCAAAGTATTCGGTATGTACCCTTACACACCCCTGTAAAGCCAGAAGGGACCCAAACCCCAAACCTAAACCCTGAAGCCCTAAACCCTAAACCCCAAAACCCCAAAACCCCTAAAGCCCTAATCTGGGGGTCATATAGGGATTATATAGGGTTTCGGATTTAGGGCTTTAAACCCTAAATCCGAAACCCTATATAATCCCTATATGGCCCCCATAGAACCATCATAAACCCAACTATAGTCCCTGTGTATATAACCCTTATAAAGACTCACACATGCTGCGGCCTTCAGCGCAATCCCGCGTAAGGCTGGTGTTGACATCCCAGCTGACATAAGCACCTATCAGGGGGTTCAGGGGTTAGGGTTTAGGATTTAGGGGTTTAGGGGTTTAGGGGTTTGGGTTTAGGGTTTACGGGTTTAGGAATTAGGGTTTCGGGGTTAGGGGTTTAGGGTTAGGGTTTAGGGGTTTAGGGTTTCAGGGTTTCAGGGTTTAGGGGTCTAGGGTTTAGGGGTTTAGGGTTTAAGGGTTTAGGCGTGTAGGGTTTAGGGATGCAAGGTTTGGGGTTCGGGGTTGAGGGCTTAGCGACATCAGCATCTATGTTTCAGGAATTTCTTGGGGCACATGGAAGTTCAGGTATGTTAATAACAGGGATACTGCGGATAATGGCACTGTACTGTGTGTACTTGGAAGGTCATGGGGACTTGGTAAGTAGGAGCAGGTTAGAATTCTCCCCAATATGAACTTGCTTAGTCTCCCTGACCCCCCAAGTACTTGAAAGTCTACTACTTCCCGAGACCCCCTGACGCATCAAGCATGTCAACGCATGGTAATCATGGTATACATAGGGAGCCTACTATTCAGACCACTATCCATTGTGCTCACAATCAGTGGGTAGGGGGGGGGCCTAACCCAAGCAACTACCTGAAAGAGACCATCGATGAAAGGCGCGAAAATTGACAATGGAGGCTAAAGCCCTTAACGCCAAACTGCCACGAAAAGGACTTATCAGCGCCACGAAAAGGACTTATCAGCTTTAAACAGCTGCCCTAATCACGCGGCTCCTACGTTACCCTCCTGAAAACAATTGACTGCCATAAAAACTCCCAGCCCGGCGCTGCACGAAAAAAGAAATCATACCCAGAGGGTCCATATATATATATATACATACATACATACAACTATTAGGGAATTAGGCCCCAAAATACCATACTATAGAAGGAATTATGGGTCTCAATTCCCTAATGGTTGTATATGTGGACCCTCTGGGATACAGAACCTGTCTTGGCCGGAAGGAATGGTAAATGTTATTCAAGACCTCCATCTTTGTGTATAGGAATTCCTGTGAACTGCTGATATTGCGAACCCCGCATGACGACATAATGAACAAATATATGTATATATGTATATATATATATATATTTATATTTATATATGAAGTGCTTCAAGGCATGCCGGATTTTAACCAACCACGGTAGGCCTTTCAGAAACTGTGGCTGTGCGAGACCTCAGTAAATAGGGAAGTATCCTCACACCCCTCACCCCTCGACCCCCACCCCCCGCGGGTCTGCCTCAATGGCATAGTCAACATCCGGAACCTTACAACTCTAGAGACACGTGAGCAGCCGTCAATATTTTCCTACCCAATTTAAAGGACATGGGTTCCATATTAGGGACTACATTAGGGACTATAGTAAACCACAAGAGGACCTTAATGTCCACTGTTAAGCGCCCCTTAATAAGGCTAATGTTGACAGTAGCTCACATGGAGAATTG